GCATTCATTGTGGAACATATTGAGCTTCCTGATGACATTTCTATACATGCATATGGCGTACTTTGGTCAAATTCTCCCCCATTTCCCTCTCCTATCTCTCCCCGCACACTGGTCCTTTTCTCATCGTATATATTTTGTTGTTGAGAATTTCATACAATGTATTTTGATCACATTTAGAACACCCCCTCCAGCTTCACCCCCAACCCACCACCAGGCCCAACTTCATTATTATTTTTCTATTTTTAAGGCCTATGGAGTTTAATTTGTATTCCCCAAATGCTGGAAAACCTCACTCCTTGAGGCAATCAGTGCTGAAAACGTGCCCTTTGCTGCCCTCAAGTGGCTCTTTGGGGAAGTCTCATGAACACCTGCTAGCTTTGCTCACCATTTTTGTCCTTGTAGGTGGGGTCATCTGAATGACCGAGCACACATTTTCCTAAATTAAAACTTCATATATTATGCAGGATGCAAAATTATATTACTAAAATGTTCTTCAGAAAGACAACTTTAAGAAATGTTCAAAGTATCTGAGCATTAAACATTCTTCCAGGCTTTATGTGACCTGCTCAGTTTTCCTGTCAGTAAACACAGAGACTCGACTGTGGAGCACATCTCATTCCTACCAAATAATGAATTTCTAAATAGACTGACTCTGATACCACTAGTGGACTGCGGAAGGAATTGGAAGATTTATCTACAATCATTTTTGACCAAACCAAACCCATCACTGTGAAAGAAAGTAGTTTCCTGTTCCTGCCCTAAAATGTCCTGTTTCTCAAGGGTTTGGTCCTGCATGTAAATAATGCACAACTGTGCACTTAAGGCACAGGACTGTACAGTCAACTGCAACAGCTCACCTGTGTTCACCACCTAATTCTCCTTCTGGTATGAACAATGCTTTGCTCCATGCTTCCTTTGCCTTTTCCCTCCTAGGAGAAAACTAAAGGGAAATGCACCCTGATCACTTTAGAACAACGTTGAGGTGACAGCCCCTTCCCTACCCTGCAGGCAGAAAGCAGGATTGGATTGAAAATGCATTAACATGATTTTGGTTATGAAAAGAAAATACAGATAAATCAAAGTGGACAGAAGTTGAAGCAAGAAGGAACTAAACTGCTCTACACAATAAAATGGGAGTTCTACAAGTTATCGGGAGGCACTAGGGAGGGGTTAGAGTCTGAAACTGGGCTTAGAAAACATCCAGGGATGTGGCATGGGGCTCAAAATTCCTAGAGAAATTCAACTGAAAACACGAAACCCCATGTGTCATCATGAGTTTACTGGGAGCACTCTGTCGGGCAGAGTGTGCTTCATGTTGGACAGGCTTCATACCTGCCTGACTACGGTGGCACTCATCTGTCCTTCCACCCCAGTTCTGCTGCCCAGTGCACGAACATCAATGCAAGAGCTTCTGCTTCAAGTTCTTCCTTCCAGCCCAAGTCCTTGGCTGTGGTCAGTACAGGACAGTGAATGCTCAAGTCCCTATGTGACCGCCTAGGGTGCAGTCCACAGGCCTGCTGCCCTGGGGTCGGGTCCTGCTGCACTTTTCCTTTCTGCATTGTCTCACCTCAGGGTGAGCCCTGCCATGCATTTTACAGTCCATCAGGCTGTGTTATGTTTTCCAACCATAACGTGGGCCCCAGTTTACTACTGTGTTCCCTGGTGAAAACAGAAGCCGCTCATAAAACGCTAAAGACAAAACACTGCTCAGGAGCGGCACCTTCTACGGAGCAGAGCCTCGCCCGCCTCCAGCAGGTGCATAAAGGGAACTTTAGCTTCATCTCTAAAGGAAGCTATGGTGGGCAGCATTTGGAGCTGTGACGGGTAGAGGGTCGTTAGGAGAATAAACAGAGCATGGAGACATTTGCACAGCAGTACTAGGAAATATGGACAGTTTGAATCTTGGTCGCTTTAGCCTACGAGGGTCATTGCCTCTTGGCCTCATTTTACTGCATCTCAGTTGGTTCCCAGAGATGTACTACACCTTAGAAGTTGGTGTCTGCTTCAGGATTCACCTGGGAGAAAAGAGGAGAGTCTGGCAACTTGCCTCAGTCAAGTCAGTTCTGGCTAGAGCTCTGCTCTGCATAAATCTAAGGATTCTGTTCTGTGTTTCCAGGGATCATGGGCCACAGCTTATCCTAAATTTATACTCAATTAGAAATTTAGGATGGTTTTTAAAGCAGACCAGTCTAGGAATATCCCTTTTTTTCTTGCTCTCTGAACTCTACAGATGCCCGACAGTCATTCTAGTCCTACAGCCATTCAATTTGGAAAGAAAAGCCTAAAAATATATGAACGCAGGTCTAGCGTCTGGTTCCGGACCTCATTCCCTGAAACACCCCTAAACAAGGGCAGACAGGAGTCCTCCATGCAGAGCAGATTCAGCATACAGAAGCCTGTCCTCTACCAGCAGCAATCCTCCAGCATGGGCCCGTCACCGGTGCTATCCTTGTGCTCTTGATGTCCCACAGTCTGGGTCCCTCATTCCCCACTCTACACAAATTACCTGAGGGGTCTGATACATGTATCTCCTAGGGAACCGGAACAGTTGAGCCACTCTCACCAAGAACTGGTTTTCCTCCATGTTTACTACCCTGCTATGAAGTACTCACTAGGTCAAATGTGCACGTGATAAAAGTTGACAGCACAGCTTCTTAAATGACAGTTTGTTTTCCTTAATTGGTAGAATTTGTCTCGCTGCATGTTTTCTCAACTGTCACTTTCTAAGACATCCTCTCAGTAAAAGTCATTTCCAGCAAATGTAAGACATAATGCTGAAGAGTCGAAGCATCACATAAGAGTCTGTAATTTAGTCTGAGAATAAAAGGGGATCACAAGGTTAGGTAAGGCACTGCACGTAAGTTTTAGACTGTCCGCTTATCTGCCACACATCCCTCCGACTTCCTCCAATTACTGGTCAGCTTGAAAGAGTAAAGTACAGGGGGCTGGAGAGATGGTTAAGAACACCGACTGTTCTTGTAGAAGACCCGGGTTCGAATCCCAGCACCCATATGGCAGCTAATGGCTGTCTGTAACTCCAGTTCCAGGGGTTCCACAGCCTCTTCTGTTCTCCATGGGCAGTGCACGACATGGATGCATTTACCTACATGCAGGCAATACATGCATACACATAAAATAAAATTTTAAAAAAAAAAGAAAGAGTAAAATACAGAGCAGATTAACAGCACATAGGAAGCTAGGAGCACTGGGATCAGCCATCAGCCAGATCCGTGCTGACCTTTCAGCAGCTGTTGCTGCCTGTTCAGCTCCTCCACTGTTGTTTAAAGTGGAGAGTTAGACTTCAACCTGGGGCAATTCTTGGTTTCTTGATCTGCAGAATGGAAATGATAAAAAGACCAAAACAAAACCAAAATCCTGCTGTATACAGACCATTGGAGGTTTAGAACGGACTCCTGCCACACAAAACATGTTTAGTCGTTGTTAGTTCTCTTCAGGATTATTTTTAGCTACTGAGCACTTTACTCTATGCATGAGATTAGGTATTACTACATTTAGTTGATTGTTTTGACAACCACATTTTTCCTCAGAATAAGCATTTCTGGTTAGCACAATCTCATTAGCTATATATAAAAATACAGACAAAAATCAAATGACAAGTCAGCTGGCCTTGAATTCATGACCCTCCTGCCTCAGCCTCCCAAGAAGTTGGAATTATAGATGTGCACTGTAAGTCTCTGGTTACCTTAGGTAATTCTCTCTACCCTCTCTGTTATTGGGGCTCTAAAGCTGAGGAATATTTTGGAAAACCCAAGTAGGAGCCTGTAACTCCACCATCAAAAATAGACCCACTATTAACAGCATCACTGTGAGCACAAGAGCTGATTATGACAACACATTTTAATACTTTCTAAGGCCTGAATATTTAATCTAAAATGGCATCCATGAATTTTTCTACTATGCAGTATAAACCTTGTAAAATGCATGCTTTCCTTTTCCTATTCAGCCCTTTTAGTGTTGGGGAAAAATTCACTGTTAAATGAGCTCCCTTCTCAGCACTGAACAGTGGTAACCAACATCTGTGCGTAACATCAAAATAATTCCACACTATAGAAACGGATAAATCGGGGCTATCCTGTAACTCAGGGGAAAAGTATATTATTTAACATTCTAATCTATTGTGATAGTTAGATCAAAACCTTCCCTAATAACTATCTCTGCACATCATAAATGTTTAAGGCTTATTGTTAGTACTGGTCTATTTTAGATTGTAGGGTAAATCAATCTCCAATGTACTACTCTTAAAAGTTAACTGAAAGCAAAGCAAGAGAATATTATACTGAAAGACTGACCACTTTCTTTGTTATATAATGAAAGAACTTAAGGAAGGTAAAGGAAAATCCACAATGTGGTTATGAGCAAATCTTCATGCTGTTGTGCTTGGTAAGTAAGGCTCACAGTCTGCATTTAATCCAGGGCTCTTACATGGGCCCATTGAAGATGATACAGTTTCTCTCTGCTGGAACTGTCAAAAGAGGTATTGGGGTTTTTGTTTTAGTTTTTTGTTTTGTTTTGTTTTAATGCTACCAAGTGAGGCATGGACCATAGGTTGGAAATCAGCCTGGACGATGCACTTAGACAATGTCTCAAAAATCCGAAAAGGGAAAAAAGCTACGAATATGAAACACCTTTATTAATCCAAGCATAATAAGCAATGGAACTGCAGACTGGAAACCTACCACAGCTCTGCCCCGCCAACTAGGTGAACATCAGCAGATCGATGTTTCTGACTCTCGTGCTCTCCATCACTATAATAAAATTGGTACCTGTCTTCAAACTACCTCAGTGAAAACTCTTACAAATAAGGAACAAACATAAGTATTGCAAAATGCCACATACTTCCTAACAATGATTATAAATGTCTTAGTTGGGAAAAACAAATTATCCCTACTTAGGGCACAATATTTGCAAAGCACTTCTGGCTGAATTCTTCCAACTTTTGTACATACCCCTCATCACTGCAATGCAGGGAGATAACCTACCCCATGTTCCCGTCCATCAGAAGAATGGTGTTGTATATGTGAGAGAATATGAAGAGAAACAGAATAGTGCTGAAGAACATCGTCATCCACGACCCATGGTCTTCGCGGAACATTTTCAACCGGAGCAACTGACCTGAAACAAGGAGCTTAAGTCAATATACACTGTAAATTGACACTCATACATCTTTCTTGTCTTAACCATAGGAGTACCTTTGAGGAGAAAGTCTTTGTCCTCTTTTATAAATAAATAATGATGAATAAAGTCCAAGATAGTTCTCATTCATACGACATTTTATTCTAGAAAGTATATTATCTAACTTTCTAATTTATTGTGAAGGATAGATCAAAATCCTCCCTAATAACTATCTCTGAGCACCGTAAGTGTCTAAGGCTTATTGTTAGTATTGGTCTATTTTAAGACTGTAGTACTAACATGAGAACTTACTATCCAGAAATTATTGATTACACTCGCATAAGGACAAGGTGACGCAGAACATTACCACTTGCTGTATTTTATTTCATAATATGCTTTTGGTTCAAACTGAAACTACTTACGGCAAGATATCGAAGTCCCACATGATTTCCTTTTGTTTCTATACATCCATTCTTAAACCAGGGCCAACTCTATTTGTAACAAGACACATCTGCTCAAAGCACATGAACTCATAAAAGGGAAAGCAAAGATTCTGTCACAAGACACAGACGGCTTACCCACTCTCCTAACTAAGTCTAGATAGCCACATGTTGGATAGGGGGACACATGTGCTGCAGAGTGTAGAATGGCTTGGAGGAAAATATGATTTCCATTCTGATCTGTAGAATTCAATTCACAAAGACAAACGCTAAAATAAAAATGAAAGAATGTTAAAATGTAAACATTTTAAGAAAAGATATTAAGATGAACACTACAGCAAAAAATTATGTCAGAAGTGTCCCAGAAAACATTTAAATTTATGGACACTAGTACCCTGAGAGATGAAGAGGTTTTCTTTTTACTTATTTTTATTTCAGGTGTGTGAGTGTTTTGCCTGCATGCATATAAATGCACCCGTGTCATGCAATGTCCTCGGAGGACAGAAGAGGGCATCGGATCCCCTGGAACTAAAGTTACAGATGGTTGTTAGCCAACATGTGGGTGCCGGGATTCAAACCCGGGTCTTCTGCAAAAAGTGCTCTTAACTACTGAGCCATCTCTCCAGCCCCAAGTATTTTTTGTTTGTTTGTTTGTTTGTTTGTTTTTAAAAAGTAAAACCTGAGAATAAAAAAAAAAAGTGAAGGTGAGTCATCTGGGCCTCTCCAAAGACAAATTCCTATTATAGTTATTTTCATCCCTGAGAAATTGCATCTATTTAATAATCAGGGAAATGACATAGATGTAGGAATCACAGTCAAAATTGGGCAGACGGGCTGGAGAGATGGCTCAGTGGTTGAGAGTGCATACTGCTTTTCCAGAGCACCTGAGTTTGGCTCCCAGCACCCACACTGAATGGCTCACAACTGCGTGTAAGTCAAGCTCCAAGGAAATCAATGACAACCTCTAGCAGACACCTGCACTCATGTGTACAAGCCCATACATACACACGCACGCACACACACACACACACACACACACACACACACACACAAATTTATAAAATTTTATGGGGTAGATCTAGAGACCATATGTATAGCTAAAGGCTACATAGCAAGCAACAATGCCAGATAGGCGATACCTCCTTCTGAGTTGTTGGCCAGAGTGGCCAAAGGGATTCCCAGAGAGTAACCCAGTAGAGAACTGGTAAATTGAACAGAAGACCCCAATCTTATCTAAAGGAATATTGTCAACTGAATACCGCTAGATGAGGAACAGCTGACCCTCCTAAAACAAAGACTTCTAGATAGGCTGACTAGATTCACCAGAAGGACAAGTAGTGGGGAATGGCTGGGGGTGTGGACAACACAGCAGACGGTAGCAGGGATATCAGAGTATAAGGGATCTAGTAGGGGGAGGGAGGCTATGGGAGGGTGCTACCTGGGAACTGGGTCTATAAAAAAAATTCTTCAAAGCATAAAAATTTTGCTCCTTAATAACTAGTAGATGTGAAAAACATTACCATTAAAATCTACCTGATGACTTTATATCCATGCTCAGATACTAAGGAGCTCAGAAAGTAACCAACTGTGACTAGTAATAATCAGATATATAGAGATTAGAAACGCCGATCTACCTCATTTAATTTTATGTCTTATAGGGTTTATACAGAGTACAATATTGTATAACTATATTAATTCAACCGTAAACCTAATAATTTACAGCTAATTTTGAAAGAGAAGCATCTTAGCTCTGGAAATTGTTATGGAATATGTCAATGCCGTTGTAATGAAATGCCTCTTCTAATCATTTGGTTATGAAATAATTAAAATAATAATAATAATAATTAGTAGATGTGAAAAACCATTGACATCTACCAAATCTGAAAATTTACAATAAAATGTCACACTAAAGGAAAAATTCCATTTTTAACTATCTAAAAGTTTTCAAATAAACAAATATGCACATCTGAAATGATCTTACTAGGACAGGCCTATAGTTTATGGAACATAGGAAGAAAAGATCTTTTAAGATTCAACTACTGATTCAACTACTTGGGGCTAGAGAGATGGCTCAGCAGTTAAGAGCACTGACTGCTCATCCAGAGGACCTGAGTTCAGTTGCTAACACCCATATCATGTGGCTCACAGCCACCTATAATTCCAGCTCCAGGAATTGGACACCCTCTTATGGCCTCCATTGGCACCCACACAGGTGGCACATGAACACACGGACACACAATTACAACATAAATAAAAGTAAAAATAAATTTTAGAATATTAAGATGTTGCCTCCCAGAACTCAAAGGTAAGGCCTATTGCTGAAGACAGGACATACTTTGGACACAGGTCTTGAAGCAAGGGAGTTAGAACAGACCTAGAAGGCACCTCCCTTGAAGGCTAGCTCTCATAGCTTTAGAGAGCACTATGCAAGGGAGAACATCAATGGATGGTCCAACCCCAGCTTCAAGGTCTAAAAGCCACATCAATGACCAGCACAGCAAACAACATGGGTGCCATAGTGGCACTTTTATCTTGGGGGAAATCAACAGCTACACGATTGGACTCAAAGCCCACTCAATGAGAGGAAACTCATGTGTAGTACTGTAAACATAGCCAAATACGCATAGCTGGAGAGATCTCGGATCTTAGCGAAAACCCCAAGGTTGTCACATCCCTAGACAAATGTAATTTCTTACTATGTGCAAAATACAAATCCTGATATTTACAGACAAGTATCCCAGTCACCACTCATCAGAGAAGCTTCTTTTGCAACAGACAGAGACTTGCAGAATTTCACAACTGGTCACACACAGACATTGTCTGTAAATTGCCCAAGCCTAAGTGGCACGTCTACAATGCAACCACTACACCTAAGGCTCATGAAACATAGAACAGGGGTAAAGAGGACACTAATGAATGTCTCAGATCTCATCAGCTCATCAGTGAAGCTCCCTCATTCAACAGAGGGCCAGGGACACAAAAGGCATAGAGATTAAGCGTTGGCAGAATGTGGATCCTTGGACAGGACTCCTATATTAAACTCCACCCACCCAGGGCTCAGGGACCATTGCAGAAGAGGGGGTGGAAAGACTGCAAGATCCAGGGAGAAGGTGCATGACCATAGGGAAAAAGAGAGTCCTACAAGTTCCTGGGACCTTGCTCATATGAATCTACAGCAATGGTGTCAGCATGCACAAGATGGATGCAAACTCAAGCAGACAAAACCCCAGCACAGACCTGTGGAAATGGTCAAAGAGCCCCAATCTTAATGGAAAAATTATTGGCAGCTGATTACTGCTGGGTAAGTAAGAACTGATCTTCTTGAAGAGAGGGACTCTAAATAGGCCCACTAGATTCCAGTGGATGAACTTGCGCTGAGGGATGTCTGGGGACACTAACTCGACATTGATAGGCCTTAACACAGTGGTTGGGGGGGGAAGGGAGTATAAAGATGAATAAGACTAGCCGGGCGTGGTGGTGCATGCCTTTAATCCCAGCACTTGGGAGGCAGAGGCAGGCAGATCTTTGTGAGTTCAAGGCCAGCCTGGTCTACATAGTGAGTTCCAGGACAGCTGGGGCTACAAGGAGACTCTGTCTCAAAAAGACAAAAAAAAATGAGTAAGACTGACTAGATGTTCTTATGAAATCATAAAAATTCAATAAAAATTTACCAAAAAAATTAAGATGTAACTACTAAACTTCCCTTTAAGCTTGCTTTTGTTAAAATACACAATAGATGTCACTTGGAGACTAAGGTAACAGAAACATTATCCTATCTAAAACTTTAGATGGAGTAAGAAATAAAAAGAAAAACAAAAAAGGCAGATTGGGTTACACCAGCTGACTTCTTGGGTTACAGAGAAGAAACAAAAGATAGCCATGGAAGTCGGGCGGGTCTTGGAGGATAGCTCAGTCAGGAGGATAGCTCAGTCAGGAGGATGGATAGCTCAGTCAGGAGGATAGCTCAGTCAGTCAGGAGGATTTGGAGGATAGGTTGGTCAGGAGGGTCTTGGAGGACAGCTCAGTTGCAAAGTGCTTGTTATGCAAGCATGAGGACCTGTGTTTCATCCCAAGGACTCACATAAAAAAAATAAATAAAAAAAAAAAACTGGTCATGGTGACACATGTTGGCATGGAGGAGACAGGATCCTTGGGGGTCATGGGTCAGTCACCCTAGCCTAGTCAGGAAGCTCCAGGCCACAATGAGAGACCCTGTCTCAAAAATCAAGGTGGATAGCTCCTGAGAAATGATGCTTGTTATCTCCATAAAGTGCTTGTTATGCAAGCATGAGGACATGTGTTTCATCCCAAGGACTCACATAAAAAATAAAAAATAAAAAAAAAAAACTGGTCATGGTGACACATGTTGGCATGGAGGAGACAGGATCCTTGGGGGTCATGGGTCAGTCACCCTAGCCTAGTCAGGAAGCTCCAGGCCACAATGAGAGACCCTGTCTCAAAAATCAAGGTGGATAGCTCCTGAGAAATGATGCTTGTTATCTCCAGATGAGGACAGTAGGCTACGCACCTCCAGGAGGATGAATCTGACTGCCACATGCA